ACTTAAATATATTTCTATAGACAGGATCTTGCTCTGACACCCAGGCTGGAGTGCAGTAGTGTGATCACGGCTCACTGCAGCCTCCACCTTCTGGGCTCAAGCGATCGTCCTACCCCAGCCTCCCTAGTAGCCGGGACTACAGGTGTGTACCATCATGCCAGCTAATTTTTTTTCTTGTTTTGTAGAGATAGGGTCCCACTGTGTTGCTCAGGCTGGTCTCAAACTCCTGAGCTCAATTGATCCACCAGCCTCAGCCTCCCAAAGTGCTGGGATTACAGATGTGAGCCACCACACCCAGCCTTGAGTTAAATTTTGTATATGGTAAGAATCTAACTTCATTCTTTTGCATGTGGATATCCAACTATCCCAGCACCATATGTTGAAGTGACTATTCTTTTCCCACAAAATGGTCTTAGCACTTTTATTGAAAATCAATTGACTGTAGATGTATAGGCTTATTTCTGGACTCGCAATTCTATTCTATTGTTCTATGTGTCTATATTTATGTAAGTACTGCACTGTTTTGATTCTTGTAGTTTTGTAGTAAGTTCTGAAATTGGGAAGTATGACTCCTCCAATGTTGTACTTTTTCAATATTGTTTTGGCTATTCAGGGTCCCTTGAAATTCCAGCTGAATTTTAAGATAGATTTTTCTATTCCTCCAAGAAAATGTCTTTGGGATTCTGATAGAGAATGCTTTGAGGCCAGAGAATAGTTTGAGCCCAGGAAGTGGAGGTTGTGGTAAGCGAAGATTGCACCACTGTACTTCAGCCTGGGCAACAGAGTGAGACTCCATTTCAAAATAAAAAAAGAGAATGCTTTGAATCTGCAAATGGTTTGGGGTAATATTCTCATCTTAACAACATTATGACATTATGTCTTCAAATCTGTAAATCCAGCATGCCTTTTCATTTATTTAGTTCTTTCTTTTTATTTTTTTTTCTGTTTGCTAATTTTCTGTATTTGCTTTCTTCAGACCAGATAGTTCTTCAATTTCTTTCAACTGGGTTTTTTAGTTTTCTTTTTTTTTTTTCCCTTTATCCCCCTGTGGTATTTCAGGAGGGTTTTTTAGTTTTTAGTGGACAAGACTTGTACCTCCTTGGTTAAATTTATTCCTAAATGTTGTATTATCTTTGATGCTATTGTAAATAGACTTTTCTGTTTTCCTTTTCAGATTTTTCATAGTGTGTAAAAATACAACTGATTTTTGCATGTTGATTTTGTAACCTGCAATGGTTTTTTTCAACTGCCAAATAAGTTTGGATAATTTGTCTTTTATTTTCATGTTTCCATATGTTATTGCTTTAAAGATTTTTTACATAATTATTTTATATTATGTATCTGATAATGCCAATATCTGGTGTTCTTCAAATTCTAAATCTGCATTGATTGTTTCTGTTCACTTGTACTCAAGTTGTCTTGTCTTGCATGTTTGGTGATCTATGTCTGTGATCTTATGATTTTAATATGCAGAAATCCTGGAGGCCTAAACTGGAGGTGCTTTTTTTTTTTTTCTAGAGTAAGTTGAGAATGGTTCTTCCAGGTGCCAGAGGATAATATTTACCTGCAACTTCTTTAGCTTCCTTCTGAGATTCATGACAGTGCAGAAGTCTCACACTGAGTTCTCCTTGCCTTTTGCTCAAGGCTTGTCTCCCAGAAACAACATTAAAATGGGCATTCTTTCTGAGGAAAGGTCTTCCTTTTTATATTTGCTCATTATTCACCTCTTTCTGCTATGATTTCAGCTCATTATTTTAAAATAAAAGTTTATGGGTTTTTTGTTGATGAGTAGGCTGGAGATTCCCCTTTCTTTGCTCAATACAACAATGTATTGTCAGTGATGTAGACTTTTTATTGTTGTACAATATACATAATATAAAATTTACCATTTTAATCATTTTTAAGTGTATAATTTAGTGATATTAAGTATTCACAATATTGTACACCCATTACCAGTATCCATTTCCAGAACTTTAGGCAGTGCACCTGGTTGTGGATTTTGCTTGGAAGGAGAAATGGCCACGTGTGCAATTATGCACCAAATTATGGGCTGTACAAAGTGCTTTGTCCAGACAGGGACTTGGAAGGAACATGATTAGAAAATAGGTGATGAAGAAACTTGGGGAAGAGGTATGTGGACAGACCTCTCTGAATGGGCAAAGGATGTGAAGATATTTATGTCCCACATGAGTGCTCACCAAAGGGTGACCTCAGAAGATACGGATTTTAATAATCAAGTAAATATGATGGGTGCAGTGGCTTACGCCTGTAATCCCAGCACTTTGGGAGGCCAAGGTGAGAGGATCACCTGAGGTCAGGAGTTCAAGACCAGACTGGCCAACATGGTGAAACCCTGTCTCTACTAAAAATACAAAAATTAACCAGTCGTGGTGATGCGCGTCTGTAGTCCCAGCTACTTGGGAGGCTGAGGCACAAGAATAGCTTGAACACGGGAGGCAGAGGTTGCAGTGAGCCAAGATTGTGCCACTGCACTCCAGCCTCCTGACAGACTGAGACTCCATCTCAAAAAAAAAAAGGTAGATATGATGACCCATTCTATGGATATCAGTCATCTTCTTTACTCAGCCACCTATGTCACTGCCTGCTGGGCTCATGAACAAAGTAGCCATGGTGGCAGGGATAGAGGCTATGCACGGGCTCAGCAACATGGAGTTCCATTCAACAAGGCTGACCTGGTTATGGCCACTGCTGAGTGCCCAATCTGCCAGCAGCAGAGACAAACACAGAGTCCCCAGTATGGCAGTATTTCTCAGGATGATCAGCCAGGTATCTGGCAGCAGATTGATTACATTGGAATATGTTCATCATGGAAGGGGCAGCGTTTTGTCCTTCCTGGAATATACATCTTCTCTGAATATACACCTTCCCTGCACACAATGTTTCTGGCAAAACTATAATCCATGGACTCACAGACTGCCTCATCTATTGTCATGTTATTACAGGTATTGATCGACTTACGACCTATGCAACTTACGACCATTTGACTTTATGACCACAATCGCTAGCCACAACTGCTCCGCATCTGGCAGCGCAAACGTTGCCCAGCTGGGTGTACAACAGTGCGGACCAGCTTCCGGCAGCACTACCATCTCCACGTGCACCATTTCAACTGTACATATAGCCTACTCAACTTACGACCAAATCGTGTTACGACCGGTCTGCTGGTCCCAATCGTGGTCGTAAGTCGAGCACTAGCTGTACACACAGTATTGCTTCTGACCAAGGAATTTTTACAGCAAATGAAGTATGGCAGTGGGTCCATGCTCATGGAATTTATTGGTCTTACCATGTTCCCACCATCCTGGAGCAGCTGGCTTGACAGACTAGTGAAATGGCCTTTTGAAGTAACAGTTGCAGTGACAACTAGGTGGCAATGCCTTGCAGGGCTGGAGAAAAAGTTCTTCAGAGGCTGTATATGCTCTGAATTAGTATTCAATATATGATGTTGTTTCTCCCACAGCCAGGATTCACAGATCCAGAAATCAAGGGGTGGAAATAAGAGTGGCACCACTCACCATCACCCCTAGTGATGCACTAACAAAATTTTTGTTTCCTGTTCCCATGGCCATGTGTTCTGCTAGCCTAGAGGTCTTAGTTGCAGAAGGAAGAATGTTTCTACCAGAAGACACAAAAAAAATTCCATTTAACTGAAAGTTAAGATGGTTTCCCAGCCACTTCAGGTTCCTCCTGCCTTTGAATCAACAGGTAAAGAAGGGTGTTACTCTGCTGGATAGGGGATTAATAATGAATACCAAGGGGAAAATGGACTTCTACTTCACAATGGAGGTATGGAAGAGTGTGTCTGGAATACAAGAGTTCCCTTAGAGTGTCTCTTAGTATTACCATGCCCTGTGATTCTGGTCAATGGGAAACTATAGCAACCCAATCCATGCAGGACTACTGCTGGCCCAGGCTCTTCAGGAATCAAGGTTTGGGTCACCTCATTAAGTAAAGAACCACAATCAGCTGAGATGCTTGTTGAAGGCAAAGGAAACACAGAATGGGTAGTAGAAGAAGGTAGTTACCAATACCAGCCAAGTTTTGTTATATCGTGTTAGGTGGAATTATGACCTCATTTTTGTCTCTATTTAGAGATAAAAGAGATGTGTGTGGTGGGTGCTACATTGACAATGGGTAGATTTGTGATGGTTAATTCTGTGTATCTACTTTACTTGGTCATAAGGTGCCCAGATATTTACTCAAACATTATTCTGGGTATTTCTGTGAGGGTATTTTTGAATGAGATTAACATTGAAGTCAGTAGACTGAGTAAAGCAGATTGCCATCCCTAATGTGGGTAGGCATCATCCAATTAGTTGAAGGCCTGAATAAAACAAAAAGGCTGAGTCTTCCCCAAGTAAGAGTATTCTTGCTGCCTGACTGTCCTTGGACTGGAACATCAGCTTTTTCCTGCTTTCAGGCTTGAACTAAAACATTTTAGCTCATCCAGAGAGAGACAGAGATAGAGACAGACAGACAGACAGAATCTCCTATTGGTTCTGTTTCTTTGGATATCCTTGACTAACATACTCATATAAGTGGAATCATATAACATCTATCCTTTTATGTCTGGCCTATTCGCTTAGGATGTTTCCAAAGTTCATCATGTTGTGGCACTAATCACAAATATAAGCTTTTCTAAATGGAAATTTATTCTAGAATATCCAGTGTCTAGACTTTAGTTCATCAAACTGACAGTTTGGTGAAGTTTTTAATCCAGCCTTGAGGGATAAGGGAATTCTTGGAGATGATGTTTATCTGAGACTTAAAGAATGAGTTAGGTGAAATCACAGTAGGGGTAGATAGAAAAATGTTCCAGGGGTCACTGTGTTCTCTCAGAATGCCTTTTACAATGTCCTGCTACCATAGGTACTTAATAAATTCTGCCCTAAAAGTTTGGTCATATATGAACCTTGTTATGTTATGTTATGTTAAGCTCTAGGAGAGGTTTTTCTGTCTTTCCAAGGAGAACAGCATACCTTTACTTTGCCATTCTGAGAAAACAGAGTCCAGTGATGGCCATCTTGACTGCTAGAGATGAGGAACTCCTTCACATACATGCTGGTAAGTAGAGATTTTACTCCCTGAGTAGTTATTCCTGTGATTTTCATTGTCTTCTGGAAGTCCACTTGCAGCCACTCTTTTGGATTATTCACCTGAGGGCAACAGTGTTGGACTAGTAGCCTCTTGGTCACCATTTACTCCCAGAAATCCCCAAATCCCTTCTTAACCATACCACAGCACTTCTCACTCTACTTTCTTTTTTGAGATGGAGTCTTGCTCTGCCACCCAGGCTGGAGTGCAGTGGCACGATCTTGGCTCACTACAACCTCCACCTCCTAGGTTCAAGCGATTCTCCTGCCTCAGCCTCCCAAGTAGCTGGGGTTACAGGTGCCCACCACCATGCCTGGATAATTTTTGTATTTTTAGTAGAGACAGGGTTTCACCAGCTTGGCCAGTGTGTTCTTGAACTCCTGACTTCAGGTGATCTGCCGCCGCAGCCTCCCAAAGTGCTGGAATTACAGGTGTGAGCCACTGCACCTGGCCTCACTCTACTTTCTTTCTCCCCCCACCCTTTTTTTTAGACAGTCTCACACTGTAACCTGGGTTGGAGAGCAATGGTGTGATCTCAGCTCACTGCAACCTCCACCCCCTGGTTTTATGTGATTCTCCTGGCTCAGCCTCCCGAGTAGCTGGGATTACAGGCACACACCACCATACCCAGCTAATTTTTTGTATTTTTAGTAGAGACAGGGTTTCACTATGTTGGCCAGACTGGTCTTGAACTCCTGACCTCGTGATCCACCCGCCTCGGCCTCCCAAAGTGCTGGGATTACAGGTGTGAGCCACTGCGTCCAGCCTCTACTTTCTATTGGCTAGTCAGTCTCCCTTATTCAACTCTAACCAACTTCAGGGCCAAAATTTTTCACAATTCACCTTTGTATCCCCAGGTTCATGCTGGGGATACAAAGATGCCCAGTAATGTTTACTTTCCACTGATGCAATGAGAAACCTGGAAAGAAAGCTAATTGTTGATATTTATCTGTAAAACGGACTTTTCTACTACAATTCTTTGATAGATATTAGCCCAGTACTAAATAAAGCGATTCATCTTCCAGGAGGTTCAATTAGGGATCATTTCCCCCAACTGCCTATGGTGTTGTTTGCCCATAATCAACCTTCCCTGACACTCTTTTTAGGAATAACTATTGACAGAAATATCTCTGAAGAAATAGTCAAAGGCTTCCCCTATTTTTTTCCCAACCACTGCTCTGAGTCAGATAACAGTAAATCTATTGCCTCTTACCTGAGGTCTCCAGGCATTACTCCTCCCTTGGAGGTGAAGTCGAGCTTTTGAAGGAGACCAGGTGGCAAAAATATTGGTGAAGTAGGATGAAGCAGTAATCTGTGCATCTGATATTGCTTTACTCTCCATTCCCAATGGCATGCTGCAACCTCAAAGAAAAGAAAAAGGAAGGTTATCATAGGGACATGCTTCAGCCTCAGTTATACTGATACTGAGAAGCCTCCACTGATATTCTAGGGCTACTGTCATCATAATATCATTTCTCAGGCATTAACTTTTGCACAGATTCTTTTATTGTTACCTATTTTCTGGTCAGCTCTTCCCACTTTGTGTGACTCTTTGATTTTCCTCCTTTTCTTCTACTTTTATTTTAGGTTCTAGGGGTACATGGGTAGGTTTGTTATAGGGGTAAATTGCATGTCACTGAGGCTTAGTGTATGGATGATCCCCTCACCCAGGTAGTGAGTGTAGTACCCAATATGTAACCTTCCAAGCCATATACCCCTCCAAACCTCTTCCTTCCTGAGTTTGCATCATTGTGTCCATGTGTATTTAATGTTTGCCTCCCACTTATGAGAACATGTGATATTTGCTTTTCTTTTCCTGCATTAGTTCACTTAGGATAATGGCCTCCAGCTGCATCTATGTTGCTGAAAAGTCATGATCTCATTCTCTTTTATGGCTGCATAATATTCCATGGTATGTATATACCACATTTTCTTTCTTTCTTTTTTTTTTTTTTTTTTTGGCGGATTTTTGCTCTTGGTGCCCAGGCTGGAGTACAATGGCACGATCTCAGCTCACCACAGCCTCTGCCTCCTGAGTTCAAGTGATTCTCCTGCCTCAGCCTCGAGTAGCTGGGATTACAGGCATACACCACCACGCCCAGCTAATTTTGTAATTTTCATAGAGATGGGGTTTCCCCATGTTGGTCAGGCTGGTCTTGAACTCCCAAAGTACTGGGATTATAGGCGTGAGCCACCACGCCCGGCACCACATTTTCTTTATCCAATCTGTTGTTGATGGGCATTTAGGTTGATTCCATGTATTTGCTATTGTGAATAGTGCTGAAATGAATATATGCGTGCATGTGTCTTTATGATAGAATGATTTATATTCCTTTGAGTATATACCCAGTGATGGGATTGCTGGGCTAAATGGTATTTCTGGGTTTGCCCAAGACTATGCTGGTTTTAGCACTGACAATTTTTGTGTCCTGATACTGGGAACCCCTCCTCCAGTGTCAGGATAACTAGAACAGTTAGTTGCCCTACCCATGGTTGAGGGAGGAAGGATAGAAGACGACTTGGCACTTACTATTTAAATCACAGCCCATCAACTCCATGCGAAGAGTGCTGCGAATGCTATAATGAGTTGGGTGCAAACGGATGTATCGAGCAATAATTGGAGGGTTAAAAATATTGTGTTTTATCCCAGATGAATCCACATTGCCAAAGAAGACCTGTATGGAGAGATTATCACAAATACACGGAAAGTGAATCCAGAGTTAAAAGCAATTTCTCTCAATCACATCTTCCTTCTAATTTTGCTTTGTGCATTTCTCAACAGCATCCAACATCCATAAGACAATTATGGTTAGATGGATGTTATGATGGTAGACACAAAAAAGGAACGTACCCTGTAATCCCAGCACTTTGGGAGGCCGAGGCGGGTGGATCACGAGGTCAAGAGATCAAGACCATCCTGGTCAACATGGTGAAACCCCGTCTCTACTAAAAATACAAAAAACGTTAGCTGGGCATGGTGGCGCGTGCCTGTAATCCCAGCTACTCAGGAGGTTGAGGCAGGAGAATTGCCTGAACCCAGGAGGTGGAGGTTGCAGTGAGCCGAGACCGCGCCACTGCACTCCAGCCTGGGTAACAAGAGCGAAACTCCGTCTCAAAAAAAAAAACAAAAACAAACAAACAAACAAAAAAAAATGGAACGCACCAAGAAGGAGTGGGAACAAGGGAAATTATTAGGACTGGGGCAAGTGAAATCGTTTTGTACTTTGAGTTCCTGTAAACGGCTCATAAAAGTTGAGGAAGCCATTTGGGCTTTGCTACTCCAGCATGGTCCACAGACCAGGAGTAGCAGAATCATCTGAGGGCAATCCAAAATGCAGTATCAGGAGAATGACATCAGTGAGTTGATGGGATAGGAGGTCCCCACCTCTTGTTCCCCTACCCGAACAATAATTTGGCAACTATCTATGGACAAAAGTGACTTTGTGGGAGCCATGGGATCCTGGTAGGAGGTTGGGAAACTCCGGTAGAGCTCAAGAATAAAGATGAATGCTTTAATAAGGCAAGCCCACATTCTAGTGGCAAGCCTGTCAACTATAGTTCTGGCTGTGGACCCAGAAGCAGCCCACCACCCTGGAAACTTAGCTCCAGACCTGTTTGTATGTAGTCCTACCACTAGCCCTGTGTGCCCAGGGATCTGGGAGGAGCAACTCCCATTGGCAACCACAGTAACAGGCCTCCCAACTGTGGACTCTTAAGCAGCCCTGTGATTCAGCTTCAGTCCCACACTTCCATGGTCTTGGTGAAGTTCTGCCTACTCAGAAAACTGGTAGGAGTCATGCCATTCCAATCCTGGAAACAGGCCCACCAACTGGACCTGACTGTGGACTCAAAAGTAACCCTGTGAGCCAACTCCAGTCTTGCTGTACCATGTTCTGGAAACAGTCTTGCCTGTAAAGGGACTCAGTAGAATCCACACTTATCCGTGCCCCCATAACAGGCCCACTGGCTATGGGCCCAACTGGGGACCCTGAAGCAGCCCTTTGACCAAGCTCCAGGCCCACTTTATCATGGTCTGCAGGCAGTCCTGACCACTCAAGGACCCAATGAGAGCTGGTAATGAACCCATTGTCTGAGTACTCAACTTGAGACCAGAAGAGGTGTCAGCTCATTCAAATGTACAGATACCAATGCAAAGCTACATGGGTCATGAAGAATCAGGCAAATACGACATCACCAAAGGGAACTAATAAAGCTCCAGTAACCAACCCTGAAGAAATGAAGATTCATGAAATTTTTGAAAAGGGTTCAAAATGATCATTTGAGCTACAAGAGGATACAGGTAGACAACTAACAAAATGAGGATAACAATACATGAATGAAATTGCAAGTTTAATAAAGAAATAAAAACCATTTTAAAGACAAACAAAAATCCTGTAGCTGAAGAATATTGCTGAATATAGCTGAAGAATGACTGAACTAAAAAATTTAATAGAGATCTTCAATAGTAGACTCAATCATACAGAAGAAAGAATTTGTAAATTTGTAGACAGGTCATTTGAAATTATCTAGTTGGAGGAATAAAAAGAACAATGAGAAAGAGTGAAGAAAGAATATGGGACTTGTGGGATATCATCAAGCAAAATGATAGATGCATTACAGAAATCTTAAAAGGAGAAGAGAGAGAGAAAGAGAAAGGAAGCTTATTTAAAGAAATAATAGGTGAGAATTCCTCAAATCTAGGGAGGGTAAGTGCCATCTGGATTCACTAAGCCCAAAGATAACCAAATAGATTAAACCCACAGAAGTCTACAATGAAATACATTATAATTAAATTAGCAACAAAGACAAAAGATAATTTTGGGGTAGTAAGAAGAAAGTGAATTATCACCCATAGAGAAGCTCCATAAGACAATGTGTGGACATCTCAGCAGAAACCTTGAAGGCCAGGAAAGAGTGGGATGATATATTCAAAGTACTCAGAGAAAAAAAATCCAATCAATAATACTTTATCTGGAAAAACTGTCCTTTAAGAATTAAGACAAAGATAAAGACTTTCTCAGACAAACAGAAACTGAGGGGGTTTGTCACCACAAGACCTGCCTTATAAGAAGTGCTAATAGTTCTTCAAGTTGAAAGAAAAAGACACTAAACAATAACCCGAAAGCATATGAATCCTTTCACTACTAAAGGTAAATATAAAGAGAAACATAGAATATTATAACACTATAATGATTGCTATAGATAACTGTTAATATTAATTTATAAATTAAAAGACAAAATAGTAATAGTAACTATAATGACAGAAATTTGTCAATGGAAACAAAATATAGAAGGAAGTAAAATATGACCTAAATTACATAAAGTTGTGGTGGGGGAAGTGAGTAAAGTATAGAGTTTCTGTATGTGACTGAAGGTGTTGCCAGCTTAAAACAGACTTCCATAACTATAAAATGTTCAGCTTGATCCCTGTGGTAAACACACACACACACACACACACACACACACACACACACACAAACACACACGTATAGTAGATATACAAAAGATAATGAGAAAAGAATCAAAACACAACCAAGCAAAAATCATCAAACCACAAAGAAAGAAAAAGAAGAAAGGAACAAAAAAACTACAAAACACTAAACTATTAACAGAATGGCAATAGAAAGTCCTTACATATCAATAATTACTTTAAGTGTAAACGGACTCCCCAATCAAAAGACAAAGAGTAACAGAATGGGGTTTTTAAAAAGCCAACAATTCAGAGATGGGAAGGAAGGAACAAAAACAAACAAGACCCAAATGTACGTTGTTGATAACAGACTCACTTTTGATTTAAGAACACACATAGGCTGAAAGTGAAGGGGTGGAGAAAGTTATGCCATATAAACTGCAACCAAAAGAGAGCAGAGGTGGCTATACTTGTATGAGAAAAAATAGTCCTTAAGTGAAAAACTGTGACGCGAGACATAGAAGGTCACTATATAATAAAAGGGTCACTTGAACAGTAAGATGTAACAATTATAAATATATATGTACCCAACATGAAAGTAACTAAATATATAAAGCAAACATTGACAGACGTGGAAGGAGAAATCAATAACAATACAATATAGTGGGCTTCAATGCTCCACTCTCTATAATGAATAGATCATCCAATAGAAAATCAATAAGGATACAGCAGAACTGAAGAATAAAATAGACCCAATGGACCTAAAATGTACGTATAGAACTTTCCACCCAACAGCAGGATTATCAAGCACACAGAGAACATTCTTCAAGACAGATCACCTTTCAGGTCACAAAACAAGTCATAACAAATTTAAGAAGATTAAAATCATACCAAGCATATTTTCTGACCACAATGGATTCAAACTACAAATCAATAACAATAAGAAAACATGAAAATTCACAAATATGTGTAAACTAAACAACACATTCTTGAATGACCATTGGGTCACAGAAGAAATTGAAATCTTGATATGTTTTCATATTATGAAACCATACAAAAACTTAAAGTATACAGTAAAAGCATACTAATTGAGGAATTTATAGCAATAAATGCCTATATTTAAAAAGAAGAAAGATATGAAATAAACAACCCAACTTATCACCTCCAGGAACTACAAAGAGAAGAAGAAGGAGAAGAAGAAGAAGAAGAAGAAGAAGAAGAAAGAAGAAGAAGAAGAAGAAAGAAGAAGAAGAAGAAGAAGAAGAAGAAGAAAGAAGAAAGAAGAAAGAAGAAAGAAGAAAGAAGAAAGAAGAAGAAAGAAGAAGAAGAAGAAGAAGAAGAAGAAGAAGAAGAAGAAGAAGAGGAGGAGGAGGAGGAG